GTGTTTAAATTTGTGAACAAAACACAATTCCAAGTATGTTTTTGATGAGGAAACAACATTATAAGTGTGTGCACTGTGAGCACTAAAAAGTTTAAATATGTTTATATAAACATATTTTTGATCTGTTTTGTATGCCCATGTAAATACTTACTGTAACTGGGTATTTGAATGTTAGATGTACCTGTATTTTAACAAAATGACTTGATACATGAATTTATGACCATCTGGCAGTGGGGACTGCCGATGAAAACTAACCTTTTGTCTAATTCTAATTATTGTAATGTTTCTTAATGTACACTGTCCCACTGAAAACTAACGAACTAACTAACTAAATAACTAAATAGATAAATAAATAAATAAAACATTGATCAGAAAATATCCCACAGCACCACAGTCTAGTGTACCTCTATTGTTGTCTAGTGTTCCGTATACTGTCAGCAGTCATATCCTGTCATTTATCCAGGCTACATGTTGGACCTGCTGCGGACCCAGGGCCGGAATGGAGCCGTGGCATTATTGGACAGTTTGATGATCCACTATCCCACTCTGTACACCCAAGTGACCGGGCGCAAACCCAGCATCGAACCGTCACGCTTCAGTGGTCTGTCTTATATATATATATATTTTTTTTTTTCATGCTTTAAAGGCATGTTGTACTGTGCACTTTTGACAGTAACAACAAAAATTGACTTTAAAAGTACTATGAAGCTTCTCTAGTAGAGGGCCCATCACCTGCTTGTCTCCATGTCCCACAAGATGTCATTGAAACTGTCTATCGAAGTCAAGACAAGCAGGTGACAGCACCAGTCCTATCTGTAGAGAGGTGATCTTTCTCTCAGTATGTATGTGGGAAAAAATGTATTTGTTATCGTTTAATGCCATACTGTGGAACATGCCAAGCAAATCTCTCATGTGGTGGCACCCCCAATCTGAAAAATTACATGTTACACCATGCACTTCTCTCAGTAACAACAAACTGGCTTTAAATCAGTGACGTTATCAGTAAATATTTAACTGTACATTTTATGATGATTTACATAAAGCTGCTGTGGCCCATCACCTCTTGTGTTATAACATTAATATAACATGGCCAGATGGTTATGATGGAACAAACATATGCAAACTACTTATGTCACATTGGCTTTACAACGCCTTTTTCCCACAACTGTTGAAATATTTTTGGACTTGAATGCTGTCCTTTGTCCTGCTTTAAAATTGTCTGTTGTGTTCTGAGCCAAGTGCAGAATCACTAATATAGATTTCACATTGATTAAGGTCTATGTTTCAATTTTAGACACATTTACACAGTTCATCAAGAAAAAAGTGGTTTTGGTGTTTAGTAGCCCTGTAAATTTCTAATGGGATTCAGTAGTTTTTGGAAATTGCTACCATTCAAAGTGAGATTTGGAAATAGTTGTTAGTTTTGCAGCTCTGATTTCTACTAAATGATATAAGGAGCAATTTGAAAGGCTTGCCATATTTTAGTAAATCAAAGTTACCCTAAAAGGATGCAATAAAGCTTACATTTTCAATTACACTCTATAATTTGGCAAGCATGAATTTCTTACAGTTGATCCAATCCCATTAGTAATGTGTTTTTGTACTATGTTTTTTTGTTACATCTACACAGGTCTGATTCAGATTTGAATTCAGATTTGCCCTTGCATCCACATTTTGAAGATTTGAAGATTGAAATTACCCAGTGCACCCTGTTGTGCATAATGTTGATATTTTACAGCTGATGTCATCAACATTAGACTTTATTAGAGTTTAACGTGAGCACAAGTTGATCAGAAAGAGCCGATTTTTATTGGAACTGTAATAACATTTTTGTTGAAAATAAAACACCTAAACAGGACCATGGATGTTTTTATTGATCACAGGCTCCTGAAAATGTTTTGTTTAAATCCATGTTCTGTTTTGAGTTTTCTTAAAACTTTTTTGACAGTGTTTTCTAATGTGTGCATTGTATCAGTATGGTAACCTGTAATCAACTGAAGTCAATAGATATAGCATCTGGTATGACCCAGTAATAATAATAGTACAAATGAACATTACATATCATTAACGTTACGTATGATTTTCACATTGCTTGTTTCATATTGTTGCAGGTGTACCAGCTTCAGACAGAGTTGCAGAAAGCTCAAACTGAGAATGAATACCAGAAGAGGTGCTCTTTAAGGCCGAGAAACTAGACCCAGTGAGAAATCATGACTTTAATTAATATTGTTGTTATTATTACTATTATTCTTAACGTTGTAATGTCTGTGTAAGGCCCGTAATGACATCTTGGCCCAGGACTTGGCTGAAGCCATTGGGAGTCAGGCAGAATTGGTCGAGCAGCTCAAGAGCTACAGAGAGGAGAACGAGCAGCTGCACAGAGACAAGCAAGTGGTAGGCAATAGAGATATATGACTTTAACAATGAATGATGATAGGCCCCATTCACACCTGTAGCCTGGCAATGTTCACGGTCTGAGTGAGGGTCACTGAGTGTTCTGCCATTTTGGACCTGGCGATTTTATGGGAACTATGTGTGAATGTGGCTATAAATTAAAGATAATGGAAGCAATTTGTTCTCCTACTAAAATACCTTTAACTGTGTCATATTCAGGAGTCAGGACACAGACTTTGCCTGATTACTCTCAGTATATTCTCAATTTAATCATAGGATCTAGCAAGCTTATTCTATAAAGATAAATAGTTTTATCAACGCAAATGCCAGGTCAGAAAGGCTTAATTCACAGTGCTGTTTTATTGAAGCTTTACAGCTTTATAAGCCATATAAGGTTTTATTTGTAGTCTTTAAGGAATCTACATTTTGTGAGTTTTTGTTTTTGACACTGAACTTTGAAATGCTTGTCTTTACTTATAGATTTCACTGAGAGATTATTGCTGATATCTTGTGTATGTTAGAGGTAAGATCTTAAGACCGAGCCCAAGCCCGACCCGACCCGACCCGGTCTAAAATGTCAATCATTACTTCGGGTCGGGTCGGGCTCGGGCTTCAAATAAATATATGTTTATAAAATGTATGCTAAAACGATGTGTGGATACTAAACTAAGGAATACTTGTTATAAAATAAATAATATGGATAAAACAGAGAAGTAATGTAATGTAATTGCTATTTAACTACTAATTACAGGATCCGCAGAGCCAGAGCTCTGCGCACGTGAACGCCCCCTCTTAATTTAATAATCTTCCCCTCCGCAAGTCTGCATCTATTTTGACCTGGTATCCCCAATATGGAGGAGCAAGAAGTTAAACTAAAGGCAGGAGAACTGAAAAGACAAACACGCACCGGTAAGAGTGAGGTGTGGAAAAGCTTCAAATTGATTGTTGAAAATGCTACAGAAACTTGCGTTGGCTTCGCTGAATGTCGTCAATGTGGCGCTTTGCTTTCATACGAGAGCAAAAAGACTGGCACCTCGACGCTGAGCACTGCTCCTCCTCCCCGAGTCCTCACAAATAAAATATGACATTTCGGGTTTGCTTCGGGCTCGGGCCTGCAAATCAAGTTAATTGGTCGGGCTCGGGCCGGGTCGGGTCGGGCTGGATTTTTTAGGCCCGATCTCACCTCTAAGCCGAACCCCTCCAACTTCTGACGAAAATTATGGACGAAAAGAGTGTTGGCATAGGTACTGCCGGTATTTATCGTCCAAAACTTATCTCTTCTAGTGCCTCTGAACTCTCAAATATTTCTTCATTCAACGGTCAACTTGAAAGTAACAACAACTACTGTATCAAAGAAGAGGAGGGTGGGGAATGGGAAGCTGATAGTCCTAATGGTGAACACAACACTTTAGCCGAATCTCCAGTTTCATCATGTCGTGATGCTAAAAGTCCTAGTAAAACTTACCTCTCTATGTCCACTCTGGCGAAACAGGAAGATGAAGAATTTTGTATTTTAACAAATGAAGATTTTGAAACTTGCACGGACAGAGAGGGTGATGGGGGGGACCAAACTGATGAGACAAAAGTGCCCCAAAGCGGTAGCACTGAACCAGGAAGTGACGATGACTCTGAATATTTTGAACCAGCACAGAAAGTTCCATATTATACTTTAATTTTTCTGACGTTGCTGGTGTATGGGTACTTCATATTGCCTTGGCCCACGTATGTGGGGGGAATGCTGCTGGGGATTGGACTGGGTTTCCTTTTGGCCATTGGAGTGGTCTGGCTCTCAGGGCCGAAGTCATCCAGTGGTTATAGATCTTTCAAGCTGCGGAAGTTGGACATTAAACAACCAGACATTTACAAAGTAAGAATCATTTTTGAGCATTTAAAATGTTTATTTACAATAACTTTGTGTATAAAACATTTTAAAAGACTTAGCAGTTATATTCCTTACACAACATGAAATAAGACACAGAGAAGTTTGTTAGCTTAAAAGGGACAGTATTTAAGATCTGCCATTTTCAATACAATCCAGTGGATTGAAACCTAAAACTATGACTACTCTCTTTGTAAACCCCAACACCTACAGCATCATTAATCAGTGCTAGTGCAGCCTCTGCAGCTCAGTGACTGAATTCTGGAGGTTCTGAGCTTGAGAATGAGAAAATCTTGTATGTTTATTTAATTCACTGTATGTAAAACACTTTGGTTTAGTTGTTACTGTTGTTAAGCATCATACAATTTGAATTAATGCTATTTATATGTAGGTCAAGGCACTGGCAACCCAGGTTGTGACTCAAAAGACACAAAGAGAAAAGTATTAGTAAGCTTTATTGAATGAGTCATCTTTGGTGCTCACACCTCAGTAGAAGACATTACGATGAAGGGCATGACCGATTAGGTGACGTTCAGGAGATGTCTTCCCCCCGGTGCCTAGACACTGGAGGTGGTAGAGGTGAAGCTGAGGAGAGTGAAGAGGACGATGAGACGCAGATAGGATACAGTTATGGGGGTTTAAATTGGGCACACTGGGCGCTGATTGGACAGGAGGAGGTGCAGCAAGCAGCGGGGAGGAGCAATGGGAGTGAGGTGATGAAGGTTGAGAAGCGGTGAGATAGACTGGAGCACAGGTAGATCTTCCAGGCTGAATTCATGCTAGCTCCATTTTAGTTTATAATGTCCCTTATGTTGAGTGCTTTGTAAGAACTGCAGGATAGGAACCGTTTGTCAATATTTTCTGCAAATATCCCTAAGCATTCTGTTGACAAAGTCTCATGCATAATTAGATACATGCTATTTATCTTAATAATACTCAAATAAAAATTTCGTAAAAATTTAGATTTAAACCAAACTTTGCACATCTTTCCTAGGGGTGGATGAATGAGATCTCAAACTATGATCCAGAGACGTACCATGCTACCCTAACCCAGTCGGTGTATGTCCGTTTAGAGGGCTCCACCATTCGCTTGTCCAAACCCAACCACAACATCTCCAGGAGAGCCGCACACAATGACCTCAAACCTGATGTCAGCTTTGTCAGCCAGAAAATCTATGACCTCACCTATAGTAAAGTAAGGCCAATACTTTGTACTCTAGCTATAAAAGTAGAAATATTTGTGTGTAACAGTTTGATTTCTGATTCTACAGATACATTTAGTGCCTGAAGGCCTGGCCAGAAAGAGAATTTGGAACAAAAAATATCCCATATGTATTGAACTTGGAAAGCAGGATGACTTTATGTCCAGGACTGAAGGGGACAAGTGGGAGTCCCGTGAGGGGTCATTCCCAAAAGACAAAACAGACGGGACAGGAAGTGCAGCCCTGTCCCAAAGCGTGACTCTGTATCTGTTTGGACGAACGGGGCGAGAAAAGGAGGACTGGTTCCAGCGCTTTTTACAGGCCTCCAAGCACAAAGTCAATCTGAAGAAGTCTGCCAGTGCCATGGTCTTTAAAAGTATGTTATTGTTGTTGTTGTTGTCGTTGTTGTCTTTGTCGTTTCTTTTTGTAGGTCTGTGAGATTAATTGCAATTGAATCAACAAATCACCAATTTGCAGTTTCAGTACTTAAATAGATATCAATAGGTAAAATGTCCTGAAATCTCCTAGTAAACACTGCATAAAACTGACTCAGCCAATAGTTAAGATCTTTGCAATAATGCTCTGAAGTGTGTATTCTTGCATTAGTTTTGCAGTTTATCTTTCAGTTATCCGTCAAATAGCTCTAGGCTTTGTTTAAAAAGTGCACTCTGAACTGAATCCTGTTTTAAAGCATACATAACGATTTTGCCCTATTTTTATATTAATCAAGCTTGACTCACTAGCCAAACAAATAATTACTGTATAGTATTATCTAGATATTTTATGATCATGAGTGTGAATCGAGCATTTACCAGTGTTACATTTTGATTCTTGATTTACTGTACAAATTCTTCATGTCTCTTTGTTAAATGTAGCTGGGGGTGGTCACAGTCGTAGTGGTAGCCGCAGCAGTCTGGATGAGGGTCTGTTGACTCAGTCCAGGCCTAAAGACGGTTCCACATCGACAGCGGGCAATGCCAAACCCTCCCCTCTGCTCGACTACAGTGTGTACATGGCCAACCTCCTGCCAGACCAAGAGGCCTTCAGCCCCTCTGTCTGCTCCTCCCTCCAGAGCCCCATGAGCAGTCCAGGGGTAGACAAGAAGGTACAATATTGTCATTTTATATCATGCACTGTATGTTTACAAAAACAAAAGAGTTTTATGTGGTCAAAATCCAGCGGTGGAAAAAATACTGAGAGAATTTGGACAGTTATATACTTAAGTACTGCTGACAAATCCGTATTAAATGCCATTATAAAGTATGCATAAAAAATACCTGATTAGTAGCATTTTAGATCAGTCTGTTATACATAATTTGGCCAAACTGGCAGCCAGTGAGGTGCCTTTATGTGACATTATGTGTGGAGTGGGATGGTTGGTACTGCTGAGCTGTACTCCTATGACGTACAAATAGTATTGACTCTACTCCAAAAAAAAAGTAAATAATTGGTTACTTTTCTCCTTTCTTAGACTATCCAGGTCTTTCAAATTCTGTAGAAATCTACTTTAAAGTTGTGCCCCTTATTCTAGAGTTATGATGTATGCTGATTTAGGCATTGAAATTATTTAAATATCTAGTTCTAAAATTGGGATTTTACTTTTGATTATTATTTGATTTTGGTCTGTAAAAAAGATGAATCCTGGAGTTTGCCCTTTTCACAAACCCTTCCATTAGTGACACACTCAACATTTTAATTACAATCTAGTTCAAGCATCAACATAGAGATATGGTGTTGGTGTAGTTAAGCAGACAAGTACACAGTGTGCCCTCAGGATAAAGAGAACAGCCTGTACCTGTGTGCTGTGGGGGACATGTATTTATTCATACACATGTACCACTAATGTTCCTCTGTGTTTAGCTCCTAAGCTCCAGCCCCTCCCCTCCGGAGCAGACCACAGGGGACGAGGAGGACCCAGTGGCCTGGCTCAACGCTGCCCTCGGACGCCTGTTCTGGGACTTCTTAAGGGAGCCGTACTGGGCTGACCTGGTCTCAAAGAAGATCCAGATGAAACTTAGTAAAATACGAGTGAGTTAATTCTTTAAATCATTGTTTCTCAAACTGTGGTATGTGGGCAGCTCTTCTGTTCAAGTGTTTTCCTAATTTAGAGACTATTATAGCTACATTTTTGCCCTCCTTTGAGAAATAACCTGGTTTTAACTACTGTGCTAATGGCATAGTCCTATTTTATACCTGGTTTACCCAAGTCTAGACCTGGGGTAGTATAGACCTGGTTTAAATCTGGTGGTTCTCCATCTGGTGGTACTCAAGTTTTATCTTAGTTTGTATTTGTGTGAATGTTCGAGAATCATCACTTTAAATATACCAGTATCTTTTAAATATTTTCTCATATGTTGATTTTTTTACTGCTACAGATGTTATTTTGAGGATTATTTTGACCATTCAAAAATTAGAACAGCAAATTCTTGAATTGTGTATTGCTATGGCATAGGTCCTCATCGCATCACTGATAACCCATAGACACTGAGGCAGTTAAGACCACGAAATAAAAGAACTTGTTTTTCATGATTTAAATGTTAGTATAGCTGCTTTACACAAGTTTAAATTCTTTGAATTATAATCTAGATTATTCATGGAGGGGCTAATGAATTATACCATCTTGTCATTTAGTTGCCTTACTTCATGAATGAGCTCACCCTGACAGAACTGGACATGGGCTCCTCCACTCCCAGAATCCTCAGCGGCTCCAAACCCTACATTGATTACAAAGGTAAAATCCAAGACCACACAAACCCTGAGCTTCCCCCTCATGCACTGGTCAGATGTTAGCTGTGTCCACATTAGAGATAAGAAAAATAAACATGTTATCAGGCAGTTCCTTGTGTTGTAATTTCAACTATATTAGTTGGCACATAGTGGATGGTTAGCTTTTATGTAATACAGATTAACAAATAACCACAATTTAAAATGAAAATGCTTTTACAAAGGCATAATTTTTACTTGGTCAGTAACTGAAACTATATCCTCATTTTCACTAAGTAGGGCCAAAATAAGATTTGCGCTCCATCAGGCTAGAAAATTACACACTTACTCCTACTGAGATTGCAACTCGGGGGTACTCCTGGGGATAGAGACATGTCTGAGAGTTAAGGGCTAAGATGCGTAGGCTGGAGCTGAAAATTAGATAATACTGCAATTTCTATTTTGGAGATATGAAAATATTGTTTATAATGAAAACAATTTATGATTAAATTAGACTGTACATGTTACAGTCTCTTCACTTTTGGATGATACTTGAATCTATACCAAGACATTCACCGGCATGGATTAATTAGCTTTTGGCATCGTCGTCCCTGAGCACTCAAAAATGCTCAGTTCGCATTTTGCCCATTTTGTTGTATTACAGATAAAACACTAGACTTTTGTCAATATCGCCCACCCCTAAGATTAACTACATGTGCGCCTGTGACCTGCTTTACCCCCCTTAGAAAGCACGAAAGCCCATAAAAACAAATGTGATGTCCCATAGCTAGCCTAGAACAGTAGATGCATTGTTGTGTGGGGGGGTCAACTAACATGAGCTGGTTTGTGAACTTAAGCACATTAGGAGGTTATCTGTGGATTAGCCTGAACTATATTAGGTTTTGTGGGTTTGCTAAGAGTTGTGCTACTTCAACTACTTATAATCTACTCTTCTTTAGACTTTTATTGTGCCGTTTTTAACTCTTTTACATTCATTTGCCCACTCATAGTTGTATTTAGAGTGATTTGTGCATGTCTATCTTTATTCTCCTGCATTTAAGACATCATTGCTCTGATCAAGCCTGTTCTTTATTTGTTCTCCAATTTAATTTTATTTATCAGTGACAGACTTAGCATTCAGCGGCATTACTTACATTACCCAGATTTCCGACCCAGAACTCAGTGGATTTGTTTCTTTTAGTAAGTTGTTTTAGATGAATATTGCAATTTAAAATATCCAAAATATAACATCATGATAGATACTGTCATAGATACTATAAATATGTCTTCCTTTAAGAACAACCTTTATTGCTATTTTAAGAAATGTTAAATGTGCTTGAGGTTGCTGTTTTACACATGAATCACACATGTGCATTATGTGTTACTGCTGTTTTCTTTCCTCACTCACTCTGTGCTTTACTTCTTCAATGAGTCACAGTCTTGTTGCTACCACTCTCACATAGCGCCATAATGAGTGCAGGGATTGATTGCACCTCCAACTGTGACGGAAGCTGCATTTCCTGACACAGTTTCTTGAAAAAATACTTCTAAAGACCACAGTGAAATGCATACAAATTTTTTGCTGATATTGGAAGGTTTGAGAGCATCTATCTGCATTTTTTCCATAGCATTGAGGGGTACTGGTAAAAAGTCATGTAAAGAGGTACATCTATGTGATTGTTCGCAGCAGGTTTTTCACAAGGGAAATGCAGGTTTTTCACAAAAATGTAGTGGCTAATAATGATTAACAGATGCGTGTTGCCAGGTGTTTTAAAGTAAATGTATCCACTGTTAACTTAAAGGGATAGTTCGGGATTTTTTACATAAATCTGTATGGCATCCCCATGAGCAGTGTCCTGCATCCACACTGACTTGCCCCCGACAGCGTCCGGTGAGCCGAGTTCCTGGCCGTTTTCGGTGCTGACGGAAGTAGTCCGGCAAGTTGGCTGGGGACTGTATAATAAAGCGTTTTTCTTCTCAGAACAATATGTGTTCAAAAGAGTGATACATTTGCATCACAAAACCATTGTCGCCTAAAAAGTCAGACCTCATAATCGCTTGGCACTATTTTCTTTCCGTTCGTATCACTGCGCATGGCCGCAATTTTGCAACAGACATTTATACGATAGGTAAATTTCATTAATGGGCTCATTTTATTGACAGGAATATTATGGACTACAGTGTAATTGAAATGGAAAAATAGTTATTAATAGCTAAAAAGTGAAATGCAGGTAAGATTTTTGTATTATTACATTATTGTGTAGCTGTATGGCTGTATTTTCCGTAACTCTACTTTGTAAAACAATTGGACTTGTGTTTCTGTGGCTGTAACATCAGGGCATCTTGGGCTCAGGCTAACTTTACCTCACCCTGCTGTTTCCTGGTATACCCATGCAGAGTGCACTGGATCAATGAAGCTTCCCCACTGAGAGCAGTCGTCTTTAAATGCATTTTCTGTTTTTCATAATCATTATCTAGTTTCATACTGTATTTTTCTTAAATATATTTTCTTCTTACCATTAAGTGCAGGGCATATGTCAGGGCATATCTTACAGGTTAGACTTACATTCCTGTGTGCCAAACCTTGAGCATTTCTTTGTTTTTTGTTTTTTTTTCCCCAACAATTTGTCCTTTTTTAGCTACAGTACACAAAGAAACTGCCCTATTAGCTGCAGCGCTTTTAATGTAATACTTCTCCAGTTAGGAACAGATTAAGTCCCTTGCCTGTCATTTACAGTTGTTAATAAGGTTTTGAGCTGTATGCCCTTAAACCCAGTGAGGTCAATGGAAGAGAAATATTTTTCAAAATTTCCCTAAAATCATGTACCTCCTAGTGGTATGAAGGCAAAAATGGCAAGAAAAAAATGTGGGTCTATTTGGTTCTGTTTATGCCATCTAGATAATCAGGACTTTAAATGTAGTGTTGCCACTATACAAAACTTTCAAAATAGATAATGATACTATGGCATAGGGTCAATTCCTATTTTGATACTACTGTGTTAATATAAACAAACATGTTTTGTTTGTTTTTTTCTTTTTTTTAGAATTCAATTTTCAACACCAAATAATAGTTGTTTACGGTAGACCACAAGGTAACATAAGGCCACTTCCTTCCTGTGGCTCAGAGAATAGACTTGATTTTTTTTTTTTTATTAATTTTTTTTTAATTCTGTTTGTTGTTCGTATTGTTGTATTGTTTTTTTCATGTCACTTTTGATTTTAATGTCACAATTGGGCTATACAGATAAACTTGCCTTGCCTATACAAATTCTAGTTAATCTCTTGATCATGTTCACTGTTCAAGAAAGGTTAGATATGGACTGATACTCAAGTTATCTCGTCTCAAAGCAAAATTAAACAGTGCAGCAATCACAGTTCCAACAAGGGAATTCTGATATCAGTACTAGGACTGAATTACTACACTTTCTTATTAATGTTATTATAGTTGAAATACCAAATCCACTATTCTGTTTGAAAAATGCCCTGTGTCCCTATGTCCCTGTGTGTGCAGGCCTGTGGTTTGATCTGGATGTTGCCTATAGCGGCTCCTTCCTGATGACCCTGGAAACCAAGATGAACCTGATTCGTTTGGGGAAAGAGGAGGAGACCCTGCGCTTTGGGGAGCAGGGCAAAGACGGGTAAGGCCCCCTGCTGATAAGACCCCTCTCCAGTGTTCCCTCTAAGGTGTGAACGTGCACGATTGCGCACTGCCCAGTTCAGCGCGCACATCAAATTCTTTGCAGCACATAAAATAAAATCTAACCTGAACTTATATAAACACACGCATGGAACAGTCAATTTGATTCAGGTTGCACATGTGAATGTACACACCCATTAGGAACAAGCCAAATACAAACGGATACATTTCGACTCCATTCGCTCACTTTCTTCAGAATGACCGTAGCAGTAGTGCACATCGCTGCTCAGAGCGGCAGGTCTGCACGAGCCAAAAGGAGTGCAGGGATTTAGTGTGTTTTTCTCAGACACATGAAAAATTAGGGGGAACGTTGTCCATAATGCAACTGATTGTCAGAGAACACTAATTTCAAATCCCAATTGAATCATATTTCAATCATATTTATTTATTTATGGATAAATGCATTTTATAGTTGGCCTATTTTCTCTTGTCGAATAAACCTCAATGCTTTTAAGGTGAGTAAGACAAAAATGTAAATAAAAAGCACTAATCACTGTATAAACTTTCAGGTTAAAATATTATATTTGTCTGGGTTAGGCTCCACCTTCATAGTTTGAATTTGTGGGTTGAAACAAATGTGACTAGTTTTATGGTTCAATTCATAGTCATACAGTAAAACTCCTCCATCTTGTTTGCTATCTAGTCACATGCTCCTCACGTGCGACTCTCCATTTTCTCACCTGTGCTATTTGAAAATTTCCCCAAGTTGATTGGGGACTAAAGGTGAAATGAATGTATTAAGAGTATCTCTACTGAGCCAATTTTCTCACAATGTACCTGTCCTGCACTGTACAGCCTCACCATGTAAGATTTCAGCTGATTAATACAGTAGAAGAAAAACATTTTTGTCTCTCCACAGACCTGACTTGTAACTTTTCAGCTGTCCTGCTTTTCTCCATTGAGATATTTTTGCTTTGCCTGATATATAGTCTACGTAATAGACGAGCAGGTGCCATAGAAACCTACCAGAAATCCATGTGGTGCTTTTTTTTTTTTTTTTTGTCTTTTTGAAACCTATATTTGTGAAAAACATTTTTCTAAGTTTCTCTTCATATCTCGGATACAATTTTTTTCTGTTATAGAACTATAAATAAACCAACATATTATTTGGTCCGAGTCTGAACCGTCTGTGGAAACATACTTTATGTGTTGATCTTACACTGACCCCTGGTGTCCAAACAGTATATTTTACACATTAAATCTTGACATGGGATGGGCATCTGGTGTAAAATCTTTGTGTCCAATATTATTAGAAGAGTTTGTGTATCAACACTTATATTGAGATTTGAGGTTTTGTTTTTTACTGGAGCAGTGTAGTTTCAAATCATTTTTACAAAGTAACTTTGCTCATATAGTGAATTACTTAGTAAAATTTTATATTTTTTCAATGTTCATTTGCATTATGTACTTTCTGCTATATATTACATTATGTATCCATATTTGTTCTTATGATGTTACCCTGGTCACATGACTATTTACCCCTGATGAACACAGGTTAGTGTTGAAATATATTCATTTTTGACACATCTTTTTAAATACCAAAAAGACACTTTCTTAGACATTTTTCAACACAGTTTATTTTTTTAGTTCATCCTCATTGGCCGTAGAACAGTCTAAGGTACTCTCCTCTTCCTCTTCTTTCCATTGCTTCTTGAGCTTCTCGACAATCTGCCCCAGCCTCTCTATCTCCTGCTCCACCTACTTCTCATCCATTACATTTGTCAGTTGGAAGTGTTAGAGCACGGGTGTCAATCATGTGGCCCGGGGGCCAGATCCGGCCCTCCAAGACCTTTAATGTGGCCCTTGGCTGATTTTCTACTAAAATATTTGAATTATATTTTCTATTAAAGTATTTGTAATTTTCTGCACTGCTTAGCATAGTGTCTCCAGTGTCTCTGTATGTGACCCCTCCCACCAGAGCAGCACAAATGAAGATTGTCTCTTTCCAAACGCTCTTAAAGGACGATCGTTTTGACTGTTGACCGTGACACCCTCATCAGAAAAAGTCAAAAATGCGAAAAGTGGAGCCGAGTGCAGGATTTTCTAAAATTTTTTTTTACTTATTTCTATTTGCATACAAGTTAAAACATTGTGTTGAAATTGTATTTTTCTTAAAGTTTCAGGTTGTTCATGATATTATAATATTTTGTAAAAGAGTTCATCAATTAAAAAAGATTTCTGTAATAGATTTGTGCTTCTCTGCACAAATATTTGAACTTATTGCTATTTTTTTGGGGTATATATGACATGTGTTTTTCTGATCCGGCCCCTTTGGGATCAAAGTAGGTTGGATACGGCCCCCTGAACAAAATGAGTTTGACACCCCTGTGTTAGAGTCTTGTCATTGCTATCTTCAGCAGCTCCTGGGTGCTTTCCATGTTGGTCATACATATATTTGTCTGTTTGTTGATTTTTTGGGCTGCCTTTGGTTTCTTCGATTTGTAGAAGCAATTGTGTCTTCTTGGTCTGGTTCTTCTGGTCAGTCCCCTCTATCTGCCTCCTGAGGGACTCCTTCTCTCCCCTCTCCTTCTCGATCTTCTTCTGGAGATCGGCATTCGTTTCTTTCAGTTGCTCAGTTGATCGATATGTAATTAAGCAAAAATACAGTGAAAACATGTATATAGATAAGTTCATTGTTCAAAAAATGGTTAAGGTTAAGTGTTTGTAAGGGGTAAAGTTCATTGTCCAACATTGGCTCAGGTTACTGCATGTGTAGCAGTCAGTTCATAGAGAGTAATATACAGGGGAGACAGGCGGTCATTAGTTTGGTCAATAGTTCTTATAGTTCTTTAATTCATTTTGTCTAAGTCTGTAGTAGAAGGACCATCCTTATAAATCTGAACTAAGACCTGAGCCACTGTTGCCTTTTTGCTCATACTCAGTATTTTTAATATGTTTGTTTTGTAACATATTTGACAATGTACTCTATATGACCATTGATTAAAACCTGATTGTACAATTATTTTATTTATTTATTCACATTTTATTTATTTTTGTTGTGAAATTTTGGAAAAATCCAGATGTATTTTGTAGTATTTTTTAAAAGACCTTTTTTATTTTTATTTTTTTTATTAAAGTTGAGGAAATTGTATATATCTTTGTATATATGTTATGGATGTATATTAAAGGGGGTTAGCCATTTACAGTATTGTATAGTTCTGGAAAAGTACTCTGCCCTCTTCCCCCACCCCCTCTCTCTCCCTCTCTTCTTGTCTTGTGTGATATGTATATTTTCCTCTCTGAAGTCTGCTCTACTTTCTGTCACAGTTTCTGTCATTTACTTGTTTTTCTTTTGTCTTTTGTACTTTTTGCCTCTGGATTTTTCTTATCGTGGATCTTTGGGTCTTTTTCTGGTGAGTGCCTCTCTTCTTATAAAGTGCACCTTTTCTCTACTAACAATCATCATCAACCTTCCTGTAGCATCTTTAACAAGCATTATTTTCTTATTTTCTTGTCTTGTGTCAAAGTCAATGCAGTATAAAGACATTTTAGCTATATATTCTTTATCTGCCCCTTGCCAATTTTGAAAATGGCTAACTCTGATACAATATAGAAATTACTGTATAACTGCACTTTCAACAGAGGAACAAATACAGGCGTGAGCATGTAATGAAATTATTTATTTTAGACAAGGACTAGATGTTCTAAATGTTACTGTATGGGGAAAAACATGCATGATTTATCTCTGAAAATCATCTCATCATCTCCTACATTATTTATAGGATTTTATTTTTTTCATCACCATCCTTTTGGTCACATCTCTCAAATTTTGAAGTATTTTGACTGTTTGTGTTCATTCTGATTTGGGTGTTTGTGTGTTTAGATTCAGGCCTAGGACGTACTGCTTGGCTGATAGCGACGAGGAATCATCGAGTGCTGGTTCATCAGATGAAGAAGACGCCTCTGAACTGTCAAATGACTCCACTGGAGCTGAGGGGTGAGAGAGAGACAGAAATTAAATGACTTCCTGATAACTACACCTGAAGCCATAGTAAAGCAGGAAGAAAAACCATGTCATGAACAAATGGTTAATTTGAGATGTAAAACCTACTTAATTTAGGTGGTAGAGCATTTATTCAAACTGTAAATAGTGTAGTTAATAGAAAGTGTTATCGACTTGCTTAACTTTCTTACACTGATTATACAATAACTTAAACTTTAAAAAAAATATTTTTCTTTGTGAATTACAGCTTGGTTGGAGGCCATAGACCGAGTAAAATTATGCGATTCGTAGACAAGATTGCTAAGTCCAAATACTTCCAGAAAGCAACAGAGACTGAGTTTATTAAAAAGAAGATGGAGGAGGTTTCTAACACACCCCTCCTGCTCACCGTGGAACTGCAGGAAGTTAGGGGAAGACTCGCGGTCAATATCCCCCCTCCTCCTACTGACAGGATATGGTGAGCTCTTGAGTGTGCAATATTATGTCTGTTCTTAGCTCCCTCTGCTGGTACTTTTCTTTCTTTGCGCTGTGTAAAACAAATTCTATTCTGCTCCTGTACAGGTATGGATTCAGAACACCACCTCACCTTGAAGTGAAAGCTCGGCCCAAACTGGGCGAGCGAGTAGTAACTCTAGCTCATGTAACAGACTGGATAGAGAAAAAACTAGACCAGGAATTTCAAGTATGAAGAGGCACTTAATATTTACTTACACGTTTTAGTAGTAATATTTGAAACTCACCATTTGTTAATTTTTCTCTAGAAAATCTTTGTAATGCCAAATATGGATGATGTGTGGTTGACGATCATGCACTCTGCCATGGACCAGCGCACTGCAGGAGCTGGCCCAGTGGAAGACTCCGAGACTTCAGACCCCGGCAGTGAGAGTTAGCAGTGAAGTTTGTTTACAGTATTTCTATAGGTTATGAAGACTCACAATGTGAACTGGAACCAAAGTAGATTGGGCCACATGCTACTTTTGTCAAACAACTACATTCCTTTAGTGGGTGTTTTCTCACAAAGCCACTAGAAGAGCATATTCAATTTTTAATACTGGAAGTAACACTAAATAGAGGGGTATAATGGTCTAAAGTCATTTTTAGAAAGACTTGGATTGGGTTATATTTCTTCATCATGAATGTTTTGAGGTAGTAGGTGCAATTTTTGAACTTATTAACATTGCAGCATTCACCAGATAACCTTACAGCCAACATGTGACTAGTTTATGCCAAGGTACATTATGATAAATAAAGCACAAACATCTTAATATGTTTCAGTTGAAAATAACTATTATTTACTTCTATTTAATTCTACTGGTAAAGATATAATACTTGACTATAAAATTCTGCAGCTTTTTCAGCTGAGCAGGTGTTAACTGAACAGTATTCGTTTGTGCTGTGATCACACCTAGAGGCCTGAACCTCTTTATTTTGCCAATAACCCCTTAATAAGCCACTGATGCCCATAAAACAAGTGTCATTTAAACCTCTATGACACTTTCACTCTAAAAAGTGCAATGAGTAAAAACAGGACTAGCTTTTAGGATGATAAAAGCATGTAAGTGTAGAGTATCTTTATAATAATATGCTATGTTTATGCTCGGTTAGGAGTACAGTACTTCTTAATACAGCTGCTGAATGTATGTGATTTATGGTACAAAGAAACCTTGTTTGGACTGGGGTATGCAATCGGTTTGCACAACTAAAAAAAACTTTTATTATACTGTATTTAATGCAGGTGTGTTAAAGTAACACGTGGTATTTTTTTTTTTTTTGCTCTAAAATCAGTTCTTTTCTCTTTTTTTAAGATTTGTATGGTGAAAAACTATTACTTGCTACGATGTAATTTAAAAGGCACTTGAATTTATATGAAGTGTAGGTACAAGTTCTGTTGTTTTAGTTTCCAATAATGTAAAGTCTGATTTATACACATTAAGTCACTGTTCATTGTTTTTCCCGGTACATATCCAGTGTTTTTTTTGGGTTTTTTTTTTGTTAATGCAAATGATTAATTCACACAGCCACCTTTTTGTTTACAATAATATATGTTCCCTTTTACCTTCTTGAACTGTTCTGTGTTTAATTTATGTTCAATAATTACATAAGATCACAGATGTTTGTGTTTTTGTCCTCTTCTTGTAATAAACGATGAAATCATTTAAGGATATATGAAGATGATGTACTGATTTTATATTTGTGAATTATTTTTAAAAATATATGTCATTTTATGGCCACATTGATGATTATTATATGTGCAGTTGCCTTATTTATAATTCAATAAATATAGGTAAATGAAGGGTTTTGGTTTGGGTTTTTTTGTTTTGTTTTTGTGTGTGTCTGTGTGTGTTTTTTTTTTGTTTGTTTTTTTTTTTGCTTTTCTTACCAGAAGACTATATATTAAAGCGTATAAAAGAGCCATCTCTCTCTGAGGTTGACCGAATTGACCCCTCCCACACCGGAAGTATAAAGGTTGCTTAGCAACGCGATTGTTGGTAACTCCGCGGTGAGGAGCTTTCTTGAATCTTCTTAATTATTTCCATTTATGATTACGTATGATTAACGTAATGTACAATTATCATCGAATGTTATATTTTAAGGTCTTTTCTATCATTGTTATTATGTTGTCTTGGGCAAATTTTTCAAGCTAATACGCGTAATTGTTTGTTAACAAGCGGTTATGTATATCACTTATCTATATATCACTGTAAACGTCTGATCTTTTATTTTGTGTTGGTTTGTGATAGGAAGGTTTCTTATTTTCATTTTACTAAAACATTTTCAGGTGAAATGGAGAGCCCTGATGAACCAGAGGAGTTTGAGGGAAGTCATGAGGAGGGAATTGACTCGCACTCACTGGATGAATCTCCAGAGGACTGGGTCACTCAGGGTGTCCATCCAACTGAACGGGGATCTGCGGAACAACTGTCAGAACCTGTGCACCTAACAGAGCGAGAGCACAGATGGCACGAGGAATCTGCAGCCCAAAACTATGGTCATTTAACTACATTCTAATTTGTAACATATAATATGGTGTAGCAAGTGTGTGTTCCATGTCTAAAGATCTTGCGTTTTATATTGTTTTTGTTTTGTTTTTTCAGCTCAAGAGAATGACATGCACGTGCCTGTGTCTCCTGACCCGTCTGACACCCTGGAAACAATGCAGGAACAAAGGCCCTCAGTGAATAATTATGCTGGTGATGAGGAGGAGGCAGAAGAATTTGTTGTTCTTGGCTCAGATCACGTATGAACCTTGAATCTATCATGTGGTAACTAATGAAACACCATCACACACCATATTCCTTTGTAATTATGCCCCATTTCTCCTCAGGAACTGGTGAAAAGGCAACAAGCAAGCTCTCAGTATTGAGCTCAACAAGGAGCTGGAGAGAATAAACCTTTGCACTAAAAGAGAAGGTCTTTATCTTTAATCTTTTTTTCTGTACAATACTTTTTATTATTTAAGATCAAATCTAAACACATTTGTCCAGTAGGTGGTGCCACTGACTCAAGAATTTCTATACATATTCACTGAGAAATAATCACAGTATTCTGTCAATGACAGCTTGAGTTGGATAAAGCCAATGAATCTGAGATTGCCGACGGGTTAATGGAGATTCACAGAGTTAATGAGAATCTGGTCAGGCTACAGTACAAGTTGGAGGATCTTCACCAGACCAAGGCCCAGGCTGAAAACAAACACCACCAGACACTCAAGCAGCTGGAGTCCAACAAGAGCCAGTTCTCTAGCATTGCAAACCAGCACAAGCAAATGAATGCCAGAGGTGAGGCTGTGTGAATTATGGTCTTTTAAAACTTGTAAAAAAAAAAAGTAGTGATGTGTGGATGATGTGGTAAAAAAATTATATCATGATTTTCTTGGAACTACATTACAATTTAGATTCTATCACAATTCAAACTGCCTTTTATTTTCACTCACCCAGAGCATTACAGAGGCTTATAAAAGGTAGAACTGAGTGCGTGGAAAAAACGAGTCTGTGTTTGAGGACAGAGCTGAATTAAATGAGAAATAGTGACTCACAATATGACAACATAGCCATATTAGTAGAAGCATGAGAGATCTCAGTTAACTTTTCACTATATTCTTCATCACAATATAGCCCAACCCTAATAATATTAATATGGTTATTTTTTATTTGTTGTAGTGTCCCAGCTCCAGTCAGAGATGGACAGTCTGATGCGTCATCTTACTTTCACTCAAGAAGACAGTAATGAACTTCACTCTAACATAAAAGCACGGAAGAAATGCTACACATAAAGCAAGAAGCCAAAAAGTTACACGCTGAGGAACAGAAACTAAAGCAGGTACACAACCTGGGGATTTCAAAGTAACAACAACCAAACCAAGTGCCAAAACCAGCCAGTTTTACTCACAGTGTATTTTTTTCCTGTAGGATTTATATGTGGAACGTCTAACCAAAGACTTGGAGAGACTGACGGAGCAGGCAGCTTTGTACAGCGCTCAGACCAGTGCCCAGGCAGATGAGACGCAGGCCGCTAAAGAGGCCCTTTCAGAGGTGACTGTGGTTTCAACTTTTTTTTTTTTTTTCTTTCTTTTTCATCTTGTCTATTTTTCCTAGTTCAAAATTGTACTACCTAGTTTGACATGGGCAACAGATGAGGCAATATCGTAAATGTGACAAACATAATGCCACAAAAAAGTTACATAGTGCACCTTGCACTATTCAGTTGAGGGTCTATCATCTGCTTGTTTCTATGGATATATGGATATGTCACTGCTCTGCCTGGAATGTTCCACAATATGACATTAAACACCTACCTTACAATTATTGAATTACAGGTGGTTTTATAGCACAAAAATACTGTGAAACAAAAGCAATAACATATCCATTGCAAAAAGCATTCGGCAGGCCCTCCACCAGAAAAGTTACACATTACACCTTTAACAAAGGGCCAAACTGATTTCAATTCCAAAATAAATATGATTAGTAATAATAGCAATAATAATAATAATTAGAGTAATAAAAAAAAAAAAGAACTTCTTTTGGGTGGAAGTTTTGGTGTTGATGACATAGATGAGAACTATTTTAGTGCTTTAGAACTCGCTGCTACTTTCTGCGATGTTGTGCTTTTCTTCTCACCTTTTTTCACAGACTGACTAACTCATATGAAATTATGACAAATATTTACCACTGGTACTGTCCCACCAAATGAAGCAATAATTACAAAAACGTGTGAAATTATTTTGTGCGCAGGCTGAGACAGAAATGACTTCGTTGTTAATGGCTCATAAGCAGCTGTTGCAGCAGTGGAACAGCAGTCTGATCGGGATGAGAAGAAGAGGGGAGGCATACACAGCAATGCAGGAGGCCGAGCGGTACATATATTACTCTATAACTCAATAACGTTAAAGCTATGTGGATAATTATTACATTTATCCAACATGTTTTCTTTACCCCTGCAGCAAGCTTGAGCACCAGTTGCTTTCATTGGACAATGAGATTAAAAGCTTTAAGAAAACCATTACAGCGGCGCAGGAGCAAAATGAGATTCTTACAATGCAGCTGAACAGGGCGCAGATAGACAATGCTACCAACAAATTCACTCATAAATCAGAAACAAGCTCAGCAAGAGGCTATGCAGACTCACTACAGCACCATCCTGCGAACACTGCGAGAGACAGAGCGCACCCTGGCGCAGTTAACCAAGGTTTGTGTATATTTTCTAAGATGAAAGAATGTAAGGGAGGGAAATATGAGACAAAAAGTAGAAATAGTAGTGCATTTCAACCTGGACAGACTCAGACAGACACAAACAGAATGTATTAGTCAGAGGCAGAAGACATGGTGATGAAGGGCATGGCCGATTAGAAGACGTTTAGACGATGTCTTTCCCCCTGGGGCCTGGACACTGGAGGTGGTACAGGTGAGATTGAGGAGAGTGAGGGGGAACATGAGAGGATGAGGACAGAGAAGGGGACGATGAGACGATGAGAAGGCAAGTGCAGCAGCAATTGGGGTTTAAATTAGGCAGACTGGGCACTAATTGGATGAGGAGGAGGTGCGGCGAGCAGTGGGGAGTGAGATGATGAAGGCTGAGGAGCAGGTAAACTCTGGAGAAGCAGTGAGGTAGACTGGATCAAAGTTAGGTCTTCCAGGCTGAATTTGCACTAGCTCCATATTTCACAATATATAAGCATCAGAATAAAATTGGAACATATTAACTTAATGATTAACTACTTAAAAATACAAACGAATAAATAAGGACAGTTTGGTAGCACTAAATGTTCATAGTAATTCTCCAAATAATCCAAAACTATTGAACCAGATCTGCTAAAGTCTTGCAACTCTTGCTTTGACTTGCTTGCTTTGATTTCTTTATAAACATCTTACTATAACACATCTGATTTTATGCTATTTAAATATGAATTGCCGAAATAATGTTTTTGTGTGCAGAACTAGTTATTAATATGCCTGAATCATATTGCAGTTTTATTCTTTTTATTTCTTTAGGAAATCAGTAATCTTGAAGCTGAAGTGAAAGACCAGAGGAGGCAGATGGAGAAAGAGAGTGCTCTGCGTCTGGAGTTAGAGGACAAGATAGAGAGTGCCCTGCAGCAGAAGCTCACTCACAACAAGGCCACCAAGTACTCCCAGAAGCTCTTCAAGAAGCTGTCTGAACACAAGAAGGAAAAGGTAAAAACTAATCAATGATCTTCAACTTTATACAAGACGGGTTTCAGATGATATCACAACATTCTATAGGCCAATATTATTTCAAACAGAAGAGCAGACCGATAAAATGATCATTGTTCAAATGCAGATTTTTGTAGCAATATAGCATGGCCTTGGGTCTAGTCAGTAGTAGAAATGATCAGGTTCTGTATTTGGGAATTTACCTTTCTGATATTTCATGGCAAACTAAAGTGTACAGTGTATCAATGGGAAAATCTGTCTCTTGCCCTGATCTGGAAGCCTGACATGGAGGCCTGATTAGAATTTGATAATGTAAAGGTTAATATCTCTGTAATTAAGTCTAAACATGAGCAAAAGTGGAACATTTTTTTCATAATAGCTTCAGAAAGTTGCGTTTGTGGATCCTAAGTTTGGATATTTCATTCAAAAACTGTGAATCTGCTATAGAGTTATATAGGCTTCTGCCAATTAGGACATTGGGGATTTGTTTTTGTTTTTTGTTTTTTAATATATATATATATATATATATTAAAACTATATTTGTTTCATCCCTTTAGATTACACAGTTGTGGCAGCTGGAGGATGAAATTGTAGCCGCTGATTTGGAAAACAGTGAAATCGGCCAAAATCTGGACAACTTGGAGTTCACCCAGAAGACACTGGATGAAGAATTGGCAAAGATGGACAAATTACTCTCTGACAAAACAAGCAAGATATCTTCATCTCTGTTTTTAATTGGGCAGAAGCAAAATATTATAACAAAAATCAAGAAAAAGATAGCTCAGATTGCAGCTGCTACCGGGGTAAGCAAACACATTTTTATTTTTGTTGATAATCATTTCTTTAATATTTTTTATGATTTTTACACCCAGACTGAGGATCTTAGCCCAATGCAAATCAAAGCAGATGCAATGAAGGTGCAGATAGAGGAACTGGAGGCAAATAAAAATCGTGAGCACCAACTTTGGATCCAGAAACAACACACTCTGGTGGGACTGACTCAGGAACTGGAGAAAACCAGCAAGAACATCCTTCAACTAGAGACTGAGTACACATGCCTACAGCAGGAGAAGATACGCATAGAAAGTAAGTGTACTCTACACTGTACAAGCACCAAGACCACTCACAATATCTGTGGCTGAGATAGAAATATAGGAGGCCACTGTTTCTCTAGTTAATCCACACTCTTATGTTAGTCATTGCTTAGAACTAGTGTAGCAACAGTATAGTCCAATTTTAGATTTGTGTCCTAGTTACCTAGAATAGTCTAAAAGTCGGTGGTACTCAGAAGGCCAAATTAATATTTTCTTTGGTAGTACTTATTTGTTGTGTTAATTTTGGAGCCATTTAAAATCCAAGTATCAGAATAGACAGTTCTAGAGTTTAATAACTAGAAAGTTGTCACAGAAAAGTGTAAAACAGAGCATCTTCTGGATGTTTCTTGATCTACAGTGAAAGATATTAACTAATGTTCAAATACCATTAAAAAAAATACAAATTATTTGTAACGCTTTATCGTAACTACACCTATTAATTATTAATAATGATTCATTAAGTATTTAATTTATAATTCCTAATGCCTTAGTTAAGTTGTTACTAAGCCTGAATCATAAATAATTTATTATTAATTGAGCCTTCTTCTTCATGCTTAATTAAGGCCAATTAATTAAAATGTAACCAAATTGGCAAAGAAAGAATCTAAAAAGGCAAACTTTTACATACCATCCATCCATTTTGTTCCGATTATTCGGGGCCGGAAGGAGCAGTCTAAGCAGGGACTCCCAGACTTTCCTTTCCACACACACTTCCTCCAGCTCTTCCTGGGGGACCCCAAGGCGTTCCCAGGCCAGCCGAGAGACATAGTCCCTCCAGCGTGTCCTGGGTCTTCCCCGGGGCCTCCTCCCAGTGGGATATGCCCATAACACCTCCCGTGGGAGGCGCCCAGGAGGCATCCGGAACAGATGCCCGAGCCACCTCAGCTGGCTCTTCTCGACGTGGAGGAGCAGCGGCTCTACTCCGAGCTCCTCCCGTGTGACTGAGCTCCTCACCCTATCTCTAAGGGAGCGCCCAGCCACCCTGCGGTGGAAACTCATTTCGGTCGCTTGTATCCGCGATCTCGTCCTTTCAGTCATTACCCAGAGCTCATGACCATAGGTGAGGGTGGGAACGTAGACTGACCGGTAAATCGAGAGCTTCGCCTTTTGGCTCAGCTCCCTGTTCACCACAACGGTCTGATACAGCGACCGCATCACTGCAGATGCTGCATCGATCCGCCTGTCGATCTCATGCTCCATCCTCCCCTCACTCGTGAACAAGAGGAGGAGCTGATCTTCATCCCAGCCGCTTCACACTCAGCTGCAAACCGCCCCAGTGCACATTGCAGGTCCTGGCTTGATGAAGCCAACAGGACAACATCATCTGAGAACAGCAGAGATGAGATCCCGTGGTCCCCAAACCGGACCCCCTCCGGCCCCTGACTGCGCCTAGAAATTCTGTCCATAAAAACAATGAACAGAACCGGGAACAGGTGCAACTTACTGCCGGCAATGCCAACACAGCTCCTGCTCCGATCATACAGGGACCGGACAGCAAAGGGCCCCGGACCCCATTCTCCCGGAGCACCCCCCACAGGACACCACGAGGGACACGGTCGAATTACTTCTCCAGATCCACAAAGCACATGTGGACTGGTTGGACAAACTCCCATAAACTCTCGACCCTTTTACATACCATTTCTAGATATTTACATGATATGGTACATGTACATGTACATGTACATGTAGTGTTATTTCACCATCATAAAAACTGGTTGTTTCTTATGCTGATATATTGTAAAGGTATTATGTAAGTTTGCTTACCTCTCCCTTCGCATTGTTGGTTTTCTAAGTAGCTAGCATTGGTTTAAGTTAAATCCACTTATATCTTGCTGTTGCTCGCTGTCTTCCCACAGATTTGATTGAAGGAGAATGCAGAGATGGACAGAACATGCAAAAGAACACTCAGGTGCTGAGAAGAGATTTAAACCGACTGAGCACTCTCCTGAGTAAGAACATACAGCTGAGCCAAACACTGAAGCAGGACAATGCACTAATGCAGACAGACTTCGCCAAAAAACTACAGGCATGAGGCTACTGTGTTCATAGTTTAATTTGAAATACTTGTCATTGCATAAATTGAGATATGAATAATTCAATGTGGTTTAATGCTTTCAGGAGGAGGAGCTAAAGTCCAGCCAGATGAGAATGAAATGGGAAAAAACAACAGAAGAAAAAGAAAGACTTTCCAAATGTCTTGTTGAAGCAGAGTTCGTATTTTCTCAATATGACCTTGGTTTCTCACACATGTGTAATAGCACTGCTCTTATGGATGTTGCTGGTATTGTTGTTGGTGACAGGCGGCAGATCATGTTGTGGGAGAAGAAGATCCAGATTGTTAAAGAGACGTACGCTGCAGTGCAAGGGGTGGGAGAACAGGCCGACATTCAGAGGATGAAGGCAGAGATACATCGCATGGAGGTAACATTACATTTTATATGATACCTTGATGCTAATGTCATCAACATTTCCTGGGTGTGTAATGCTAACTGTAAGCATGCTCTGTCCAAGGCTGTGTTCAACTTTAATCTGAGTATTTACATTCACACAGTCTGTCCAGAAAACACTGACTTAGTTGGAACTACAAAAATTAAATTATTTTTACTGTTAAACAAGTCACAGGTAAACACGATATATGACATAATGTGTGATAGAACTTTATTTGTCTAATAGTGGAAAAATTTGACAAATTCAGGCAACAACAAAACAATAAAAATAACACAGACATCTCAGAAAAATACTTAAACAATACACACTGGTCAGGTAATAATTTTTTTTTTTGTTGTAAAAATAATGATCATCTTTTTGTTTAATCTTTTTATTTTATTTTTTCCCTAACGTCACCATGTGTAAAATCCAAAAGTTCTAGTCTTCTGTGTGTCCCAGGTGCGTTTGACTCAGCTGATGAGGGACCGGGAGCGACTGCTGAGAGAGAGCGAGGCGGTAGTGGCTCGACGTGAGACCATCGTGTTACGTCGAGAATCTCTCCTCCGCAGTTCTCCATACAAACAGAGCACCAAGGGACAACTGCAGAGGCTCAACCAGAGCCTTCAGCGCAAAATCAACACCACACATAAAGTATATCCTATATGCTCTTTGTGGGCTTTTACCTATATATCTATATTTGAGCTAAAAGAAATTGTATTTTATTGTCTAAAGCAAATGACGGAGTGTGAGCAAGTGATCGGAGAGCTGCAGGAGAGCCAGCTGAGTGTGGGCAGCCGTCTCTCACAGCAGAAGCAGCAGATCATAGACCTCTGCGGAAACAGCTTTGCCCTAGAGCAGGACTTAGCCAATCTCCAGGACACTAAAAAGAGGGTAAGCACTATGGGATGTAATACAGTGTATAGCCTACATATAAATATGATGCATCCTTAACTTAACTATCTGCACTGCATCTGATTGTAAAACATTTTATTGATCCTTCGCAAATAATGTAATTTTTTCAGTTAGTTGTGACATCTGAAATATTGTTTGCTGCTTGCTGTCAAGTATCACTTCTACAACTGTCAAAAACTAAAACAGAAATGAAAGATCTATGTATTTCTCATTTTCAAAACGGTTGACCTTAACTTCAGTCCTCTGCTTGTTTCAATGTCTTCAGGTGTTAATATTCATGTTTATTTATGTATTGTTATTTATTCTCTCTAAAATCTATTTAAAACAATTCGTGTGATTGATTCTCTGATTGTGTGCAGAAATTGTCCCATCTGGTGGTCCTCCAGAACAGGTCCAAGAAGCTGCAGAGCGTGAAGGACAACAGCTACAAACCTGTGTCGAACATTGAGTCCATTGGAGCTGCCCTCCACAATCAGACAGAGAGAGTGAGCACAATCAGCACCATCCTGCAGCGAGTGTGTGAGGACTTCCCCCAACACCAGGGGGCGCTGCGCCAGCTGACTCTGGCACTGTCTGTTCATGCACAGTAGAAAGTCCCTGTTCTACAGGTATCCTGACTGTGAGTATGTGACAAAATGACCAGTGGACAATATGAATTACGCTTTGCTACAACAACTGTGTAGTCTTTTCTTTGAATAAGCTACAAATTCCACACACCTATTTTCTAGGTATAATACTCCCATTGGATGACTTAAGTTGTTAAAATTGTAGCATGTATTGTTTTTAATGACTCACAGACCAATGACCTTGACTGAAGAATATTGTAATTCAAACTAAGACTTTTATTAACATAATTATTTGTTATAATTGTTTTGTTTGTATTTACCTCAAGCTTCTGCAAACTTGTCATCACTCTGCCTTTTGTCTGTGCTGTACTATTCCTACTTTGCAACAAATTATGATTAAATGTATATTAAAAATAATTTTAAAAAACAGGCGTAACTCATTTAATTATAATTCTGAATATGCATAATAAATAATATAATAAATGTTCTTTTTAAGTAACTTTTAAATCAAGGTAATACATTGTTACAGTGACACACCAAGGCTAATCAAATTGCTCCATTTATTTCTAATGTGACGTCAGAAGGTGTTGGTGTGGTTGGTTTAAAAAGTTGTAGAACCAGCTTCAGTGTGGCCTCCTGCAACTCTACATAAGAAATATTCTCATTGTCATTTCCAAAAAACTCCCTGACATCTGCACTTCTATTATAAACAACAAAAGCGAACAGATTAACTTATGACAACATGGCTTGCATAGAATCTTCTCCTCCCAAGTTGAATCAAATCCTAAATACATTTTTTAAATTCCAATGTAATGTTTTGACTGTGTTGATGTTTTAGTACTAGTCAAGTAATTACTTGCTTAGCTTTATCAGATTATATATATATATATGTGTGTGTGTGTGTGTGTGTGTGTGCGTGCGTGCGTGTGTATATATGTATATGTATATATTTATTTATTTATTTATTATTATTGTTTTTTTTTTTATAAAGACTACTATTTTTTGTAGTACCCTGCAAGCCTAAGCTGTTTTTCATGCAGTTTGTGTCAGATACACAGTCAGATCATAAGGATAATTTATAGATCATTCATAATTTCGAAAGGTCTTCTAAGTGTCACACCTCACTCCCTTTAGATGACAAATCACGGTACGGGGCATGTCTCTAGGCAACTATAGCTCATGTATGTATACGCAAATCACAACCACATTTATAAAACCTTATAAGAGAACGTGCTATCTATTTATAACTATTGTAGTTTAGTAAGGGGAAAGAACCTGCCGGTGTGGATTCCCATTTGTATTCGTTTTCAACATATCATGATAAGGATGCGGATGTGAGCTGTCAGCCTGATTGCAGGATGCTTGGTAGACCTGAGTCATCATTCAAAAGTAACCCCTGTACAGATATGGATTTAGAACTGAATTAAAGTATTTTCAAAATTATATTTTTTTTTGCATGTTAGTTCTACTACAGTCCCACTACTATAAGCTCACAATTTTAGAATGTAATCTTTATTCTGTGTCTATGTCCTATGTGTGAACACTTAATGACATTTGTCTTGTCTTGTTTTATTAATTAGGCTTGTAACAATAACAAATTTTGAAGTACAATAGATTGTTAAAGAAAATATAGACAGTAAACAATAATACTGAAACAAATTTATGCCACTGACTCAATATCCCTAAAGCTGAATTATCCAACTAAAATATTTGAAATGTATAATACAGTTAAAAACATGACCTGCAATAAATAGCAGAATGAAACACTATAAGGAAAATCTCAGTATCTGCCCTGACAGTTAAACTGAGAAAACTGGCTTTAAAATTTGGTGTTGTCCCTTTTGAGTATGTCAGAGGTATACTAATGATAGTATGTTTATGTTACCATATGATGAGTTCATATTTATCAATCACAACCATCATCACTGATTTTACCTTTGTTAATATAAAATATTAAGCATTTTGGAATAAGAAATTGTGAAAGTTTCAAGTTTAATTTGTCTCATTTCAGAATTAGTCCTTAAAACATGTAGCAGTATCTGAGCTGTGTGAAACTGTAGTAAAAGAACAGAAAAGTGCAGTATTTATGTTTGAATTCATCAGTTACAAAATTACAACATTGGTTGCTATACTTTTCCTTTGAATCATTGAAGAAACTGTAGTTCGGGCAAATTTTACATCAAGATTTCTCAAAGTTGAGTCGTAAAACATTGTCACCAAATAATACAGGTGTTAAGATGGAGGTTTTTGGTCTTAACTCAGTTTTGAGTATGAAACTGAGTTTAGTAGTTATTTTGTGTCTGTAATGAGTCATAAAAGTGATTTATTCAACCCTCTACAGCTCTAGGGATATTGATCCCCAAAATATAAAAATATTGTACATCTATCACATACTGTACATACAACAATATGTTTATAGTTATTGTGACAGGCCTATTATTAATATATTTGTTTACAGTTAACTTTTTATTACTAGAATTCATTTACAGGTGGACTACGGGCATGTAATTCTGCCACCTACTTGTCCACAAGGAGATGTCATTGCTTTCCTGTAATGTTCTGCAGTATGGAATTAAACTTATCTAGTATCTCCATGGAGACCAGCAGGCAACCTTGCCAAGCTAAGTTACAGGTCAGACCTGCAGAGATGTGTCCCCCAAGTAAGAATGCCTGTTTTTCATTTTTGAACAATAAAAGCATGAATTGGCTAGCTCGCTGCTGGCAAAGCACAAATATATATGTGGAAACAAGCCACCACCAAAAGTTATTGAGTTCACCTTTTATTACATAATATTTTATAAACTCAATCTCATGTTTACTTTCTAGTGTCTACGCACATCCCCTGGACACCTCTGCACTGTTATGTCATTTACAGTAGGGCCTATTTTCATCAGTTTGCATAGAGCCGTTACAGTACAACAAACACAAAGCCATGCTCACAGTTGGGTTTCCATGCTTCCAGGGAACACTACACTGACTTACATTCATTTCCTATAGGCCTTAACCATGGTCACTATTTGCCTAACCTTAACCGTCACCTATTTTCACTCTTATCTGAACTTTAAATCATGTTGTTGATCTAATAATAAAAGATTCATATCATAGGAATTTTTGTCCCCATAAAAAGTACCAGGAAGCAATGTATTTAAATAAACTGATCACTCACTCCACTAAGACATCATTGACCAATTAACAGGCAAAATGACTAAAGGCCTACAGCACTAATGCCCACAATGTGATATATACCTATCACACACACACACGCACACACACACACACACACACACATAATAATTTAACCACTGAGTATGAGCAACTCCTTCCCCTTAGTTGTAACAGCCCACATGTTCTTATTTCCTGCTACTCACTGAGAACTTCGCACTTTTTGCCTGTTCGCATCACTGGTCTGGTAGGTATGGTATATGGATTATCTAGACAAAGTTTATTTTTTTTAATCTTTGTTAATGAATACACCTCACCTCCTACTACTACTAGACTGCACTGTGCAAACAACTTGTATTATTGATTGACTCCCGGCAGCAGGTTTATGGTGTAATTTGATATTAAGCAATCAGTGAAGACAAACAGATGTTCCAGTGTGGACCAAGTTATGAATGGGCCAGCTGTTATTTGATCAATGTAATGTATTTTAGCGTGTATGCTTACCTTTCATATACAGTCCGTCTCTTATTGTCTTACTTCTTGTTTAACAGGTTTCCCAGCACGCCCACACATAAACACAGCATGGCAAACACCCACAGAAGGCGTGGAAACAACTGAACAACTTTTTTATTGTGCATGTCTTTCAATTCTTCCCACTTCTAGAGATGAGAAGGTGAGAGAGAGGTCTACTGTGTGTACTGGTTTAACACGGACCAAACATGGCGGGGGAGTGCACCCCAGAAGGACGGGATTTGAAAGACATGACAGAGGAAGAGCTATGGGAACTTATCAATGACAACAGGCACAAGATTTCTTTGGACGTGCGCCCCTGTCGTGTGATCCCTTATTTGAGGCAGGCGAGGGTGCTGACCGAAATGGATGAAGATGAGATTCTGTCATGCCAAAAACTCTCCAATCGCTCCATGAGAACAAGTAAGATATAAGAATTATCCAGTGGTGGCTGGTGGTCTTTCAAAGCTCATATTATGTTACATGTTTACTTTATGATTGATTATTATAAGGCAACACAGGGCCCATTCTGTTGCCTCCATTTACATCATAGACCTGACCTTAACTGTGGGATTAACAGTTGTATCATTAAAGGGTCCATGCACACTATTTTCTGATCTGTTATAATGTTATTTCCTCATCAAAAACATACCTGGAGGTGTGTTTTGTTTCATTCACACATGCTTAACACACAAATCCTGCATATTTAGGCTGAATTCTCTCAAACTGAAAACACATGTGGAACACATTATGGAACACTGGGATGTGGTAATACAGGAAGTGCTCCACTGTGTTTTAAACGTCATATGCTTCACTAGAATCACTTTGATCATTTGAGATGTGGAATAGCCAATCTCTACTGAATATCAAAATGTAAAAAATAGCTGTTATCTTGAAAACTATCACTTCATGACATCACAAGGTGGAACAGAACATTTTGAACTTTGGAGATGTAAATTACTCGAACATGTGTGAAGGAAACAAATCACAACTCGAGGTATGGCTTTGATGAGATAACAACATTCTAACTCGTCTTAAAGCTCATAAGAGTCAGTTTTGTGTAATGTAGGAACTTTAAGAATTTCTGCACCAGGGACTGAAGGCTTATCTGTGTTAAACTAGATCTAAACAGTATGCAATAGTATAAGTCTAAATTAGGTCTAAACTGGCACTAAATCTGAAATTAAACCAGGTCTCACAGGACTGCCGGTGGAAATTTAAATTAAAGCAAACCACAGCTTTTCACTTTATAAACAATTTCTCTCTGTCACTCTGTACCAGGCTGTGTGGTATTTTAATAAGCAATGCAATTACAATGGTAATGTGTAATTATGTTTACGTCAGCACCATTAATAATTAGATATCATCATATTTTTAGACTCTGTCTAAAAGTTTGGACACACACTTTTTCATTTATGTTTCTTCTTTATTTCCATGATCATTTACATGGTAGATTCTCACTGAAGGCACCAAAACCATGAATGAATACATGTGGAATGTAAAAAACAAAAAAATAAACTCAGAATAAGTCAACTTACTTAACTAAACAAAGGGTGGCTATCTTAAAAAATGTAAGACAGCCACCCTTTGCTTTGAACCTTGGTTTGTACTTAGCACTTTTGTTAAAACCATTTCAGGAGACTTTATCATAAAGCTCATTGACAGAAGGTCAAAGGTTTGCAGCACTGTCAAAAAAGCAAAAGGTGGAAACTTATTTGAATATGAGTATTTGAATATAAAATATATATTTAGTTATTTAAATTTTTTCTTCCCTTCATAATTTCATATATCTTGAGTCATATATTTTATATTTTCCATATGTATATAAAATGTAGAAATCAGTAAACAAAAACAACAAAAACATTGAATGAGAGGGTGTGTCCACACTTGGCACAGACTGGTAGTGTATGTGTGGTTTTATGATGGTTTTGATTAACATTGTTTAGGATGGACAGAAATTGTGTTTTGGCGTCCCTGCATGTCTACAGTACACACATTGAAAACTTGATAATAAAGAATCTTGAACCTTGGTTATACATAAACCAATTCACTGAACAACTTGTTTTTTCAGCCATGGGGGAGAAAGTACATAAAACTGCAGTGGAAGCAAACTTCTTGTGGTCGTAGCCAGGGAAAAAAGTGAGAACTTATGGTTTGGTCAAGTCTACCCCAGTTTGTTTACGCCCACATCCGAAGAGGAAATGTCTTTCATGCGAGACCACAGTTCACATGACAAAAGCACTGTCTCTTTCCAACTTGCTTATGAGGTTCACTAATGTGTTAAGGACTAAAATGGTGGAGCATGATTTTTCAGTTAATTAACCCTACATTATTAGTCTGTCTACATCTCCAATGCCCAAAATGCTCAGTTCCACATGTAACTTACTGGTAGATTTAAACAGTACCTTTTACCTTTTGTTGAGATTGGCAAATCTAGGGCTGGAATTATCCAAATGATTCTTGTGAACGTGTATGGAGTATAAAAACACTGAGGAGTACTTCCTGTATTACCACATGACATCACAAGTGTTTTTTTGTATTTTTATTTTATTTTTTTTTATTTTTTTTGAGAGAGAGAAGAAAACAGCCTAAATATGCAAGGTTTGCATTTGCCCTTTTGGGGGTGTTTAAATTTGTGAACAAAACACAATTCCAAGTATGTTTTTGATGAGGAAACAACATTATAAGTGTGTGCACTGTGAGCACTAAAAGTTTAAATATGTTTATATAAACATATTTTTGATCTGTTTTGTATGCCCATGTAAATACTTACTGTAACTGGGTATTTGAATGTTAGATGTACCTGTATTTTAACAAAATGACTTGATACATGAATTTATGACCATCTGGCAGTGGGGACTGCCGATGAAAACTAACCTTTTGTCTAATTCTAATTATTGTAATGTTTCTTAATGTACACTGTCCCACTGAAAACTAACGAACTAACTAACTAAATAGATAAATAAATAAATAAAACATTGATCAGAAAAGTCTAGTGTACCTCTATTGTTGTCTAGTGTTCCGTATACTGTCAGTAGTCATATCCTGTCATTTATCCAGGCTACATGTTGGACCTGCTGCGGACCCAGGGCCGGAATGGAGCCGTGGCATTATTGGACAGTTTGATGATCCACTATCCCACTCTGTACACCCAAGTGACCGGGCGCAAACCCAGCATCGAACCGTCACGCTTCAGTGGTCTGTCTTATATATATATATATATTTTTTTTTTCATGCTTTAAAGGCATGTTGTACTGTGCACTTTTGACAGTAACAACAAAAATTGACTTTAAAAGTACTATGAAGCTTCTCTAGTAGAGGGCCCATCACCTGCTTGTCTCCATGTCCCACAAGATGTCATTGAAACTGTCTATCGAAGTCAAGACAAGCAGGTGACAGCACCAGTCCTATCTGTAGAGAGGTGATCTTTCTCTCAGTATGTATGTGGGAAAAAATGTATTTGTTATCGTTTAATGCCATACTGTGGAACATGCCAAGCAAATCTCTCATGTGGTGGCACCCCCAATCTGAAAAATTACATGTTACACCATGCACTTCTCTCAGTAACAACAAACTGGCTTTAAATCAGTGACGTTATCAGTAAATATTTAACTGTACATTTTATGATGATTTACATAAAGCTGCTGTGGCCCCATCACCTCTTGTGTTATAACATTAATATAACATGGCCAGATGGTTATGATGGAACAAACATATGCAAACTACTTATGTCACATTGGCTTTACAACGCCTTTTTCCCACAACTGTTGAAATATTTTTGGACTTGAATGCTGTCCTTTGTCCTGCTTTAAAATTGTCTGTTGTGTTCTGAGCCAAGTGCAGAATCACTAATATAGATTTCACATTGATTAAGGTCTATGTTTCAATTTTAGACACATTTACACAGTTCATCAAGAAAAAAGTGGTTTTGGTGTTTAGTAGCCCTGTAAATTTCTAATGGGATTCAGTAGTTTTTGGAAATTGCTACCATTCAAAGTGAGATTTGGAAATAGTTGTTAGTTTTGCAGCTCTGATTTCTACTAAATGATATAAGGAGCAATTTGAAAGGCTTGCCATATTTTAGTAAATCAAAGTTACCCTAAAAGGATGCAATAAAGCTTACATTTTCAATTACACTCTATAATTTGGCAAGCATGAATTTCTTACAGTTGATCCAATCCCATTAGTAATGTGTTTTTGTACTATGTTTTTTTGTTACATCTACACAGGTCTGATTCAGATTTGAATTCAGATTTGCCCTTGCATCCACATTTTGAAGATTTGAAGATTGAAATTACCCAGTGCACCCTGTTGTGCATAATGTTGATATTTTACAGCTGATGTCATCAACATTAGACTTTATTAGAGTTTAACGTGAGCACAAGTTGATCAGAAAGAGCCGATTTTATTGGAACTGTAATAACATTTTTGTTGAAAATAAAACACCTAAACAGGACCATGGATGTTTTTATTGATCACAGGCTCCTGAAAATGTTTTGTTTAAATCCATGTTCTGTTTTGAGTTTTCTTAAAACTTTTTTGACAGTGTTTTCTAATGTGTGCATTGTATCAGTATGGTAACCTGTAATCAACTGAAGTCAATAGATATAGCATCTGGTATGACCCAGTAATAATAATAGTACAAATGAACATTACATATCATTAACGTTACGTATGATTTTCACATTGCTTGTTTCATATTGTTGCAGGTGTACCAGCTTCAGACAGAGTTGCAGAAAGCTCAAACTGAGAATGAATACCAGAAGAGGTGCTCTTTAAGGCCGAGAAACTAGACCCAGTGAGAAATCATGACTTTAATTAATATTGTTGTTATTATTACTATTATTCTTAACGTTGTAATGTCTGTGTAAGGCCCGTAATGACATCTTGGCCCAGGACTTGGCTGAAGCCATTGGGAGTCAGGCAGAATTGGTCGAGCAGCTCAAGAGCTACAGAGAGGAGAACGAGCAGCTGCACAGAGACAAGCAAGTGGTAGGCAATAGAGATATATGACTTTAACAATGAATGATGATAGGCCCCATTCACACCTGTAGCCTGGCAATGTTCACGGTCTGAGTGAGGGTCACTGAGTGTTCTGCCATTTTGGACCTGGCGATTTTATGGGAACTATGTGTGAATGTGGCTATAAATTAAAGATAATGGAAGCAATTTGTTCTCCTACTAAAATACCTTCTAACTGTGTCATATTCAGGAGTCAGGACACAGACTTTGCCTGATTACTCTCAGTATATTCTCAATTTAATCATAGGATCTAGCAAGCTTATTCTATAAAGATAAATAGTTTTATCAACGCAAATGCCAGGTCAGAAAGGCTTAATTCACAGTGCTGTTTTATTGAAGCTTTACAGCTTTATAAGCCATATAAGGTTTTATTTGTAGTCTTTAAGGAATCTACATTTTGTGAGTTTTTGTTTTTGACACTGAACTTTGAAATGCTTGTCTTTACTTATAGATTTCACTGAGATTATTGCTGATATCTTGTGTATGTTAGAGGTAAGATCTTAAGACCGAGCCCAAGCCCGACCCGACCCGACCCGGTCTAAAATGTCAATCATTACTTCGGGTCGGGTCGGGCTCGGGCTTCAAATAAATATATGTTTATAAAATGTATGCTAAAACGATGTGTGGATACTAAACTAAGGAATACTTGTTATAAAATAAATAATATGGATAAAACAGAGAAGTAATGTAATGTAATTGCTATTTAACTACTAATTACAGGATCCGCAGAGCCAGAGCTCTGCGCACGTGAACGCCCCCTCTTAATTTAATAATCTTCCCCTCCGCAAGTCTGCATCTATTTTGACCTGGTATCCCCAATATGGAGGAGCAAGAAGTTAAACTAAAGGCAGGAGAACTGAAAAGACAAACACGCACCGGTAAGAGTGAGGTGTGGAAAAGCTTCAAATTGATTGTTGAAAATGCTACAGAAACTTGCGTTGGCTTCGCTGAATGTCGTCAATGTGGCGCTTTGCTTTCATACGAGAGCAAAAAGACTGGCACCTCGACGCTGAGCACTGCTCCTCCTCCCGAGTCCTCACAAATAAAATATGACATTTCGGGTTTGCTTCGGGCTCGGGCCTGCAAATCAAGTTAATTGGTCGGGCTCGGGCCGGGTCGGGTTTTAATACCCGCGGGCCGGGTCGGGTCGGGCTGGATTTTTTAGGCCCGATCTCACCTCTAAGCCGAACCCCTCCAACTTCTGACGAAAATTATGGACGAAAAGAGTGTTGGCATAGGTACTGGCGGTATTTATCGTCCAAAACTTATCTCTTCTAGTGCCTCTGAACTCTCAAATATTTCTTCATTCAACGGTCAACTTGAAAGTAACAACAACTACTGTATCAAAGAAGAGGAGGGTGGGGAATGGGAAGCTGATAGTCCTAATGGTGAACACAACACTTTAGCCGAATCTCCAGTTTCATCATCTCGTGATGCTAAAAGTCCTAGTAAAACTTACCTCTCTATGTCCACTCTGGCGAAACAGGAAGATGAAGAATTTTGTATTTTAACAAATGAAGATTTTGAAACTTGCACGGACAGAGAGGGTGATGGGGGGGACCAAACTGATGAGACAAAAGTGCCCCAAAGCGGTAGCACTGAACCAGGAAGTGACGATGACTCTGAATATTTTGAACCAGCACAGAAAGTTCCATATTATACTTTAATTTTTCTGACGTTGCTGGTGTATGGGTACTTCATATTGCCTTGGCCCACGTATGTGGGGGGAATGCTGCTGGGGATTGGACTGGGTTTCCTTTTGGCCATTGGAGTGGTCTGGCTCTCAGGGCCGAAGTCATCCAGTGGTTATAGATCTTTCAAGCTGCGGAAGTTGGACATTAAACAACCAGACATTTACAAAGTAAGAATCATTTTTGAGCATTTAAAATGTTTTTTTTACAATAACTTTGTGTATAAAACATTTTAAAAGACTTAGCAGTTATATTCCTTATACAACATGAAATAAGACACACAGAGAAGTTTGTTAGCTTAAAAGGGACAGTATTTAAGATCTGCCATTTTCAATACAATCCAGTGGATTGAAACCTAAAACTATGACTACTCTCTTTGTAAACCCCAACACCTACAGCATCATT